ACGGAAAAAAAAAAAAAAAAAAAAAAAAAAAAAAAAAAAAAAAAAAATGGTATATGTCAGTGATCTCTTACCAAATTCTTCCCTCATCTACCTGTCCCTCCATCTTCAGTATGTTTGTGTGCATAGAAAGAGGGCTGGAAGGATTACCATCAAAGTTATTTCTGCATGTGAGATTTGGAGTGATTTATTGCCTTCTTTTTTTGTTCTAGTTTAATATTTGCTGTTTACATTATTAAAAATAATTAATAATCTGTATAATTAAAACCTATCATTTTTATACAAATAATAAAGTCATTACTCTTTAAAAAGTGTTATTCCAGTTTATACAGTTACCAGCAATGTGTAAGTTTCACCACAACTATGCCAGTACTGGTAGTTATACGTTTTTGGATACCTATCACTGAGGGAGTTAATACCTCAAATGTGAAATGTAAGCCCTTGGTGTGCTAATGACCTGTTATGTTTCTTTGGGTCCAGGAAGCATCTATGATTTTTATTTCCTCAAACAAGGCAGTGGACATTGGGACACATGGACAGAGTATATCACCAAAGAGGAGGAAGTTATCCCCGCCGGTGCGAAGGTAAAACAGAAGCATTGACCATGAAACTCTGGTTTTCAGGATTACTCAAATATTCTCCCAGGTGGAGGAATTAATGGTTCTGTGTAAGCATTTTTTTTTTTCTGTGTAAGCATTTTTAAGAGCATTCTTTGGAAAAAGATTCAAGCACGAGCTGGATTGAACATTCAAAAGCATGAACTTTAGAATCAGAGAGACCCAGTTTCCTTACTCAGCCTTCACTTTCTCTGCCTCAGTTTACTCAACCATAAAATGGAAGAAAAATCATTTAACGGATGGTTGCAAAGACTGAACGTGGTATGCGTGAACGCATGACACATCCTGGGGGACAGAACAATGTTTGCTGCTCTTCTGATTATTACCAATATCAGCAATACCAGGGAGTCATCAGTCTGCCTCTAAGACATCCAAGCCAAAGAGGATCTTTAAAATCCTCAGAGAAAGATTTCCTTGATCAGAATTCTTAGAAAAGCAGGTTCTGATTAGTAGGTTTTCTGATTAGCAGATGATTCACATACAACTTTGGCTCATTTCAATCCTTGTGGAAAATTTTTCCAGATGTGCACTTTTCCGCCTCTGTTAGTAGAGTCTAGTGGACATAATTTATCTTTCTGGAGTGACTGCAGACCGTTCAGGCTCTGGGTGGAGAGGTGCACAGTAGATGGGAAGGTGGGAATGCTGACCGCAGGACCACAGCTGCATGAGGATGACTCAGCAAGGCAAATGTGCACTGGCTTCAAGACACACCCTGGGAGCTGGGTGTTGTAGAAAAAGAAAAAGTACTGAGATTCTTCTTAAAGAACTTAGTCACCTGAACTCCAAGGATTTGAAATCTTGCTAAATTTATGCAGAGTCCAAGGCAGGTACAGAGAGTTCCTGTGTACCTCACACCTAGTTTCTCGATTGATAACATCTTACATTAGTGCTGTGGATTGATTGAATTGTGTCTCCCAAAAGTTCATATATTAGAAGCTTAATTCCCACTATAACTATTGAGGGTAGGAAATACATATGGTAATTGAAAGGTGGGGCCTTAGAGAGGTGATTGGATTGTGAGGACAAAATGTTTTCAGTTCTGCTGGGAATTTTTCCCTCGTCAAACAATTGTCCTAGTCCCTGAAAATAAAAATCTATGAAACCCAACTTGCTTTAAATTCCCAGTCTTGGTAGCAAAATAGACATCTTGAACCTGCTTCTGCATTCAGCATCACTTACTGGTTATGTGGCTTTGGACAAGTTAGCCAGTTTCTTGGAGCCTCAGTTTTTCCATCTGTGTTATTATACACCTGACTCAGAGGGTTACTGGGAAGACTGCGGGGGGTAATACACGGAAACATACACAGCTCAACACCTGTTAATTCTCTTCTTCTCCTCTTTGATTCTCTTGCTCCATCTGCCCTTTTTCCTTTGATCGAGTTATTTACCAAAGAAGCCAAGCCTTTGTCTACAAAGGCCCTCCTGGTGCACAGACCCAGATGGCACCGTTTGCATTATGCTCTAGTTTTGCTTTAGGGGCACCATTTACCTGAAGCACAGTGTGAATGGTACTCCCTGGAGTTACACAACACAGTGTCCCTAAGTTCACTGGCCCCTTTCTGCCTAGACATTCAAGGAGACTTCAGCATATGATATAATATTCCTGCCCCCTCCCCTAACCCCATGGAGAGACGTGACATAGCCAAATGGCTGATGACAGAGTCTGGGCTCACAGAAGCCAAGCAAAGGTAAGGTGTTCTACCGAAAGCATCGGGGATTCCAGGAACCCAAAACCCAAGCCCTCAAAGTCCAATCAGGATCTGAGTACCATGAAGAATATGCTTGATCCCCACACTGGAAAAGGAAGGAATTAGGTGGGGGTGGGTTTTAGAACCAAGGATATGCATGTTGAGAGAAGCAGATCAGGAAAAAGCACAGGTAATGGGGGTCCAGGGTCACACGTAAACCCTCTGGCCAGCGGTACAGATAGCATATGGGAGGTGGACCTTACCTGGGACAAGGATACAGGTTGGTTCAGAGCAATGATCTCAGAGAACAGTGACTATAGACCGATGCATACTGTATTTGTTGTTTACAATACGACCGCTCAGTAGTTAAGAATGTAGACTTTAGAATCAGACAAATTGAAATTCAAATCTCTGAATTTCCACTTATTTGGTGTGTTACTCAGGCAGGTCACAGAAGAGCTCTGGACCTCAGTTTCCTCTTCTACAAAACAGGGACAATAATGCCCACCTTTACACGCGTGGTGTCATTTAAGCCTTAAACCAGCTCTGTGAACTGGGTGCCATTATTATCCCCATTTCACGAATGAAGAAACTGAGGCACCTGGAGAGGTTAAATACTCAGAGTCATAGAGATAGTAAGAGATGGAGCTAGAATTCAAACCAAGGTCTTTTGAATGCCAAGATCCAGCCTCCTGGCCCAAGACCAAGATTCTCCCATGTCTTTGTGGTGCAGGTCTCAGAACTCATCATCCCCACAATGGAGACAGCCCGGCAGTCCTTCTTCTTGAAAACCTGTCTTGACCATGAGATTCCGATGCTGTTCGTGGGTCCCACAGGCACTGGAAAATCAGCCATCACCAACAACTTCCTCCTTCACCTTCCCAAAGACACCTACCTGCCCAACTGCATCAATTTCTCTGCCAGAACCTCAGCCAATCAGACCCAGGATATCATCATGTCCAAGTTGGATCGACGGCGGAAGGGCATTTTCGGGCCTCCCATGGGGAAGAAAGCAGTGGTGTTTGTGGGTAAGGCACTGGCCTGGGGTCTGGACACCACCGTGTTCTTCCACCCCAAGCTTCAGCAAACTAGAACTTCCCTTCGTAGGGCCATGGTACAGTTCTTTTACTCTCTCTGGGAGATATAAAATATTTCTGGTTAATATAATTTAGGGCCGGCCTGTGGCTCACTCGGGAGAGTGTGGTGCTGATAACACCAAGGCCACGGGTTCAGATCTCTATATAGAGATGGCTGGTTGGCTCACTTGGGAGAGCATGGTGCTGACAATACCAAGTCAAGGGTTAAGATCTCCTTACCAGTCATCTTTAAAATATATATATATGTGTGTGTGTGTGTGTGTGTGTGTGTGTGTGTGTGTGTGTGTGTGTGTGTGTGTATAATTTAGTACCCTCTCTCCTTCCACTTGTAGTAAGAAGTAGTTCTAGAAGGGAACTGTGGTGTCTACTCTCTGGCATCTCCAAAAGCAGCACACACTGCGTGATAAGCTCCTTACTCCATTTTGTGTCAGAGAAATATGTTATTAGTAAATGAAGGATCCTAATTTGCTAAATAAATATTTGTGAAATAAGCACATTGTATTTTCCCAGGACTCTGCCTGTGTACAAAGCACTTGCTTGTTTATTTCGTCTGAGCCTCAACCTTGTACGGTTATTAACCATCATTATCATTTCACTAGCAGTTAACTGAGGCTCTAGAAGGTTAAATTCCCTGTCTAGGATCAAACATCTAGAAAGTTCTGGAGCATGACCCAAACATGGTTTCTGGGTGCCAATATGTATTACATTTTTCTCTCCATCACTGTTGATTCAGAGGTCTCATTTAATAGTAGTCGTGCCCCATTCTTCTGGATTCTCTCATGCCCCGTCTTTGTAACTTGTGAATAAATAGTAGACATAGCAGGGGCCAGCCCATGGCTCACTGGGTGAGTGAGGTGCTGACAAACACCAAGTCAAGGGTTAAGATCCCCCTACCGGTCATCTTTAAAAAAAAAAAAAAGAATAGTAAACATTGCGTTTAGACATTTGTCAACTAACATCAACTTCTTAAAGGCAGGGATCCTATTTTAATTTATTTCATTGCTCTTTTCCTCCCTCATTCCTTTCCTCTATCTCACTCTCCTTCCCTATTTTCATGATATATCCGAACACAGTTTAAGCTTTGCAGCCAAATAGATCCGGCTTCAAAGCTTACTTTTTAACCCTAGATAATATTGTGACTTAACCTCCCTGACTCTCAGTTCCTTACCTTTAACACAGAGGTGATACTCTCTTTCTTACAAAATCATTACTTGGATTAGATAAAATAAAGTCTGTAAAGCTCCTAGAGTATGACCTGACACACACTGAGCATATAATTAATGTTTGTCAAATAAAACTTAAAAGAGCCTCCATTTTACTGGGTGCCTCCCATGTGCGAGGACTGAGCGATATGCAAGTGGGAAAATGCCATGCAGGGATATTCTTGCTATCTTGGTTTTGCTCCTCAAAGACCTTGCTCCCCTTCAGCACCTTGCTCCCCTGCTGGTCAAATTAAATGCTCTGTTGGCTGAGATCTGCCTGTCTTCCTCACCATCGTATCCCCAGCAATTAACAAAACATCTGACACACAGTAGACAACCAGTATATGTTTTGGTCGAGGTAAATGGGGGAAAAAATGCCTGTTTGTTGTTGCCAATCCGTGAATCCTCATGTCATAACAGGCAGAGATCTCAATGAGGCAGGAAAGCCCAGAACCCAGGAAAACCCCTTCCCATCTGGTCAGGAAGTCCACTGACTGCCTGTTTGTTGTTGCCAATCCGTGAATCCTCATGTCATAACAGGCAGAGATCTCAGTGAGGCAGGAAAGCCCAGAACCCAGGAAAACCCCTTCCCATCTGGTCAGGAAGTCCACTGACTAAGCCCTGCCTGGAGTGGGAATGGGACAGCTGGGTATGTCCTCTCCCACAAAGGGAACTGTCTTCTGTGACTTTCTGGAAGAGCGGAGGATCCCATGGTCTTATGATGTGTGGCTTCTTTTCCCAGATGACCTCAACATGCCAGCCAAAGAGGTGTATGGGGCCCAGCCCCCCATCGAGCTCTTGAGGCAGTGGATTGACCACGGTTACTGGTTTGACAAGAAAGACACAAACAGGCTGGACATCGTGGATGTGCTGCTCGTGACAGCCATGGGCCCCCCAGGGGGAGGAAAGAATGACATTACTGGTATGTGAAGGAGAGGGCGTGCTCCTCCCCCACGCCCAGCAGCGCTGGGACGCTCACGAGCACAGGGCTGGTGCAGGTCTCTCTGTCCTGGTGAAGCACGGGGCACAAGTATGTTTAGGCTACTGCAGAGGGCTTGGGTTAGCTCCAGACTTCGTGTGGGAATGTTTTAAAACAGGATGGGAAGACAACAAGAGGATGTGAGAAGTCTTCGACTAGACCCCAAAGAAACAGACTCTTGCGTGAAAAGGAGAGTTCGGTTTAGCCAACATGTGTCCCCAGAGGGCAGCTCGATCCGAGGTCCTCAGCTAGGGGTGCATGACAGAGTCACCTGCTGTACTTGTTATAATTCTTCTGGTT